AAACCCGAAAACCGCCCAAAAAATGAAAAAAAACCGACCTAAAAACCGGTCGGTTCGGTTGGTTTCGTCGGGTCGGTCGGTTTTTTGCCCACCCCTAGTCACAATTTACTCACTAACCTTCAAAGTGCTTCCAGTAGTCACTGAACTTTGTCCGTTTTCACTTCATCCATCACCCTTAAAAATATGTTACCTTATTCGCTGATGTGACTAACGAAAATCTATCGTAACAAACTACGATCATTAAAAAAAATTATAATTCAACCAAAACCATTGTTTCATTATTTATCCAACTTATACTTGGTCACAATTTAGTCATCGAATTTCAAAATGCTTCCCAATGGTCACTCATCTTTGAAATGTCGCACTTCATTCATCATCCGACATATTTCGTTCCCTTTATTGCTAATGTTCACACAAAAAATCNNATTGCTAATGTTCACACAAAAAATCCACTTGGTAATTTACAAATGTTAAAAAAATTACAACTCACCAAAATCATCATATGTGAAACGTGATTTTCACGACCCCATAAACTTCTTTAAACCCCAATAAAGCTTCCTTAATGATTCTTTTAGAAATATTATTTTTCTAATTCAAACGTTTATTATGCAAAAAAAAAAAAATAGCTTTCAATCTGAGGTTGAAATTATGAAACATAACTTGTTATGTTGGAAATTGATTTTTGAAAATATTTTGTTTATATTTCACCATTTTGACTTTTCCAATTGATCGTGTATGATCTTCAATCATCGTTTTATATTTCGAATCAACCATTGGATATATGAATTTTGATCTCCGAACTTTAGATTTCTTGCAATTTCACCATTTTCTCGTTCATTGTCTCCAATTTCATCAATTTCATCGATTTTTACCTAACAAACACAATAGACACAGAAGTAAGCTATAATTCATTAAAATATCCAACAAATGCTATAATTTAAAGGCTTGAATAAGTGTACAAAATGCACTTATCACTAGGTTTTTTAGGGCTGAAATTAGGGAAGTTTTATTGGATTTTAAAGAAGTTTATGGGGATGTAGAAGTCACATTCCACATATTATAATTTTTGTGAGTTGATGGTTTGGCCAAGTTGTAATTTTTTTTATGATTGTAACTTACCTATAGAATTTTTGTACAATAAATTAGCAATGAAGTGAACAAAATATGGTGGATAATGAATGGAGTGCAATATCTTAAAGACGTGTGACAATTGAGAAGCATTTTGAAGTTCGATGAATTAACTATGACCAAGTGTAAGTTGGATGAGTAATAAAATAATGATTTTGTTGAGTTGTAACTTTTTAACAATTGTAACTTGTCACTTCAGATCAAGGGTGGGTATGGTCCGGCTCAGTTCAGTTTTCTTTAGAATCGAACAAAACCCAAAATTTTCAAGTATTTAGTAAATGGAACGGTCAGATTTAAATTTAATTAAAGTGAACCGAACCAAACCCAAAATTTTTGAGTATTTAGTAAACGAAACTTTCAGATCTAAATTTAATTATGGATTCCGGGATTCCTACAATAATTATTTTTTTTATATTACAACGCTACATTAGCTCGATTATGACATATTCAATCTTAAATCTTACAAAATAACGTAGTCCAATCATGTGATATCTTTTGCACATCTTTGTTGAGTTCTTCATAAATTTAACTGTTTAAATCACAGAAAGAGGAAAAATGTTAGTTCACAATAATAGAACGGTAGAAATGACATTACGGTAGAATAAGATATTTGGATAAAATTTAGGTCAACTTGAATAAATTGAGTTTGACTGAAAATTAGAAATATTAAAATCATATTTTGGGTTTGGACTATATTAATTAATTAGCAATTTATTTAAAAAAATAAAATAATTTGACTTATTTAAGTAGGGATGGCAAAAAAACTTGTTCAACCCGATACCCGTGGGGCCTCGCCCCGAATGGAGTAGGGATTACCTCCCTAACCGGGTAATCGAGGCGGGGTCATTACCCCGCGGGTATGGAAAGCATAGTCCCCGCCCCGCTACCCGCTCCACTAAAAATTAATTTCAGATTTAAGTTTTTTATCGAAGAAAAATAATAAATTTATCATTATTTTTAAAGAGAACATAAATTGCTTTTAACAAATTAGTAAAAAGGTAATAAAATTTACTAACTAAATACAAAAAAAAATTAAAATTAAAATAAATAAAAAAGAAAAAAAATAGATGGGGCGATAAATGGGGCAAGTGAGTTGCCCCGCCCCGGCCCGCCCCGCCCCGTCCCGTCCCGTCCCGTCCCGCTTTAATTGAGTATGGGGATGGAATATGGTAACAAGGGTACGGGATGGGGTGGGAATGACCGACACGTTCCATACCCCGCCCCGTTAGGGAGATTCGATTTGTTAGCCACGTCAACGAATAAAAGTAACAAATTTTTAAGGGTAATGGAATGGAAGCACTTTGAATTTCGGTGGGTAAACAGTGACCATAGTATAAGTTTGGTGATTATTGAAACAATTAACTCACAATTATAATTAGTATGAAATTAGAATTTTAGTGTTGTTTTGGGAGTTTAAAAAGTTGAGTTGATGTTTAAACTTAAAGTTCATAAAATTTTAGGAAATCTCCGTGTGAACTTGCAGTCTTTGAGGTGCGGGAATATAACATTTTGAGGTATGGAACATCTCATTTTTATTTTTTTTGTTTTAATAATTTTTCGTAAAATGATGAATATATTTTTCTATATTGCCTATAAATTATTTATATAAAAATTGTTGATTAATGTGTTTGATTGATTTAACTATCAATTTAAAAAATATTATATTTGTTTATTTTTTAATTAATGAATAGATGAGAAAGTGGGATATAGAGGTGTCAAGACGGACGGGCCAGCCATGACCCGTGAAAATCGGCCCGTGAAAACCCGGACCGCGAGCCGACCCGTGACCCGTGCGGGCGGTTCACGGGCCAAGGAAGTGTAACCCGCGGCTTCGCGGGTTA